AAAAAAAAAAAAAAAAAAAAAAAAAAAGGACAAATGGGACTGATAAAATTAAAAACTTCTTCATAGCAAAGGAAACAATCAAAAAAGTGAAGAGACAACATAGAGAATGCCAAATAACATTTTCAAATTATACATCTGACAAAGAGTTAACATCCAAATGTAAGGGGCTCTAAAGGGGTAACTTTTGAGGACTAAAGACAAAATTGTAACTCTTATGTCTGGCTCTTCTCTGTGGAATAAAAAGCAAAGAAAGAAATGTTTACATGTTTTACATAAACAGAACATATATCTCTAAGAAATTTTTAGAAAGATAACTCTATGTTTCCCAGCACAGAGGGAACAACCATAACCTATGTCTGGAAAATATCTTACCAAATCCCTAAATGACAAAGAGAGAACTATGGATGATTAGAGTGCTGTCCCATGGCACCCTAATCTTGTCTTTCTGGAGGCTAACCAGACAAGAGCAGACAAGAGCAACATTTGTATGTGAGACCAATAATTAAAGTGTATGGAAAGAATCAAGGCAGATGTGGCTCAGTCATAGGTCACAATATATCCACTCTATCTTTGTTGTGAGCTACTGAGGGTCTCAAATTGACCTGTACCGAGTAAAGGGGGTAAAAGTGATATTCAAAGAGTCAAAAATAAGGGATATGCTATATGAGAGAATGAATATGTGAGAGTAGTTTGCTCTTAGGTTAACCTTTAATAGTCAAATACATAGACATTAAACATAAAAGCATTTATCATCATTTTTCCTAACCATTGTCAACTATTTTCTGTTTATTTTACCAGTCGTGTTTTCTTCCACACAAACTTGTGCACAATAGTAAAAATAAAACATTTAAATATGTGTTCAGTTTAAATTTTATTTGAAAAAGCTATTAAGATAATAAAAATGCAATTTGTGTCTATATATAATTATTCAGAATAATGGCCAAAGGAAATGAAATGAAACAAACCATCAGCCTGCATGAAGTCACTGTTTGCCTGTTAGTCCTGCTGAGTGTCTTGCAGCTTCAGATATAGCTTACACATTCAGTTTCTGTTATGATACTGTGACTATTTGGAAATGAGCAGCGATGCCAATGATTATCAGACATCCTTCATTGTGGACCAGTACAATTGGGAATCCTTCATCTTTTTCTCCTGAATTTTCAGCCATGAGAATGCACAATGCCATTTAGAATAGCTTCCTGTAACCATATTAAAGTGAAAAATTGGACAGCTATTCTGAATATCTCAGCAACAGTGCTGCAAAATTACTTCTGTCCAGTATTTATGTTATGTCAGTTTTTTGCATATCTGTCTTTTCATATGAATGACTGAAAGAATGAGGAGAGAAAATAAAGGAGTTACAAACTATAAAAATTCTCATTTTTAAAAATTTCAGGAGGTAGATATTAAAGGTACACAGACTCAAATATGTTGGGAGATCCTTTATAGGCAGGGGCTTAATTAGACCACTAAGGTCTGTTCTATTGCCTTGTACAAAATGACTTAAAGCTATTTTGGAGAGTCAGGCTTGGCTTGATCATAGCCATTTCTGGTCAAACTCCTCCCCCATTATAATTGTGATATTTTCCTCCTCTGATTTTCTTGACCATTTGGTTACTGTCAGGATAATTTATCTGACATTTACTAGCACTAGGCTTGTAGAGTTAATTAACTTTTCTTATTCCTAGATCACCTACACTATAAGCCTGTAGGGTAAGTTCTTGGTATCTTTTTCATTGGTATCCATCATAATACTAGGCACACAGCTGGGCTCAAGAAGAAAATTACAGTTTTGAAATTTCAAGTAGGAAACATAATTCAGAAGCCATGGAGTCATGGGATCTATATTAATGACAACAGACAATTTGGCCATCTATCTGAGTGGATAGGCCTCTTCCCAGAACACTAAATGTCACACTTTACACTGCACCAGAATCACCTGGAAGGCTTGTTAAAACAAGATATTAGAATACAGTCCCAGATTTTCTACCTGTGGGTATGAGTGGGGCCTGAGAATCTGCTTGGTACTGTATTTTACAAGCATTCTCTTATTTTCCATACCGACTTATGAAATGGGGTTTATATTTTTTTCCATTTTTAATTGACATGCAACACGTTTAAGGAATACAATGTGATGTTTCAGAACAAGTATTCATTCTGTAGTGAAAAAACATCACTACAGGTATTTAGCATACCCATTTCCAAAATATCATTTCTTTGTGGCCGGAACATTAAAAAGTCTTTCTTCAAGCCAGGTGTGGTGGTGCACGCCTGTCACCCCAGCAATTGGGAGGCTGCAGATGGACGACTGCTGCTAGCATGGATTAGTGAGTTCAAAGATAACCTGAACTGCACAGCGAGACCCTAGCTCAAAGACACCACCCCACGTCTCTTTTCAAAACAAATCTAGTTCTTTTGAATATAATACGCTATTGCGAACTATAGCTACCCTATGGTGCAATAGAGCACCAGAATTTATCCTACCTCTTCAATTGTAACTTTCTTGAAATAGAGTTATTTAAATCCTGATTTCATAAACTTGAAAACCCCTGTAGGTGACGGTCTGGGTAGAGCAGCGGCACTGGCCACTTCCATTGCCCCGGAGGTAGGGGGGTGTAAATGTGAGTGAGAAAATTAGTATATGTCTTTTCCAGAGTCTAAAGAGCCAGAAAATAAACTCGAGGAAAACAAAAACATAAAGGGTACCTACTCTGATCTTCTGACCCCATCTGGTGGTTTCCACTTCGATTGAACCAAAGCACTGATTTGTTGTCTCCCCCTACTGGTGGTAATCGAACGCTCAGCCCGGAAGTCTGTTGGCTCAGTTGTGTGAGGCGGGGGTTTCTCTTCCGACCGTTAAGAGGGTTTTCCGAGGAGGCGATAAGATGGCTGAGGCGGTTAGTGGGTTAGTCCCCTCTCCCTTTGCCCCTCATTCTTGTTCTGTTTTTGTTGTTGTTTGTTTTGTTTGTGTTGTTTGTTTCCATTTCCGACTTGTGGAGAACTTTTTTCTCTGTGTAGCTTTTGTTCGAATCCAACTATGGCTCGGAAAACGTACAAATTTGTTTCTAAAAACCATTACAAGAACTTTATACCTTACATATTTATAAATGTATAAAAAATCTTTGGGGGTTGGAGATATGGGAGGGAAATTGGCTGAGGGAACTAGACTATTAATCGGAACATTTTTCCTGCCAAACGAGCAAACCAGTCTGGAATATCTGACAAAATAAACCTTTAAAAAAGTACTTAAATATACTCTTAATTGATGAAAAAGTCTTCATCTTCCCCTTTAGATATATTATCTTTGTAATGAGTGTGTTAAGCTTTACAAAAACTGTAAAGGAAATGTGGAAGCGTGACATATTTCCCATTTCCTCATGCGCGCGTCTGCACGTCCTTAAGGGTTCTTATGATTTTAGAGGCACTGAAATAAGGTGGTGATTAGTTTACTCTTTACTTCGCTAGGTAGTCACGTTGTGAAGAAGTCAAGATGTTGAATCGAAGTAATGAGTTTATGTGGCCACTAGGGCGTTGAGGTTTTTGGAATATGTGTCTCCACACATAACGGCCTCTGTCACCTGACCCCTCCCCCCCCATAAAAGCCCACCGGAAATAGCCAAGGTTGGAGGCATAAATCTGTAATCCCAGCACTCTGGCAGGCTGAGGCAGGAGGACCTCAAGTTTAAATCCAGCCAGGGCCAAAACACACACACACACACACACACACACACACACACACACACACACACAAGGGCGGGGGATTTAGCTCAGTGGTTGCGCTGCATGCTTTGCAAGCGCAAGAACCCGAGTTTAATCCCGGTACCAAAATAAATAAATAAATAAATAAATCCAACCAGGGCAATTTAGTGACTTAGCGAGACCTTATCTCAAAAAATATTTTTTTAAAGGGGAAGGGGTGGGGATATAGCTCAGCCTGAATGTAATGGGTTCAATCCTCAGTACCACCAAAAAAGAAAAAAATTTTTTTTTTGTACCTGGGATCAAACTCAGGACCTTGTGCTTACCAGGCAGGCACAGTGCCACTGAGCTACATCCCTGGCCCAGCTATAATAATTTTGGAGTTGTATGTGTGCATGTGTGTGTGCGTGTACATGCATGTATGCATGTATTTCTTAGCCTACATAGATGGTGAACTCGTGTTGAGTTTTTGTAACCAGCCTTGCATCCCTGTAATAAAACTCATGTGCTCATAGTATATAATACTTTTATATAGTGCTAAAAACTGTTAATATCTTGCTAAAGGGCCGGGCATTTAGCTCAGTGGTTCGGTGGCCTGCCTTGCAAGCGCAAGGACCTGAGTTCGATCCCCGGTACCACACACATGCACACACACACACACACACACACACAAAGAAATCTTGCTAAGGATTTTGTTTCTATCACAAGGGATACTGACCTGTAATTTTCTTTTTTTAAACTGTCTTTAAATGATGTTGGTATCACAGTATAACACACACTTATATATAATGAATTTTTTATATGAGTTGGTATGTTTCTGCCTCTTCTGTTTTTGGGGAAGATATAAGTGTAGAATTGATGTTCATTGTTCTTTAAACATTTGGTTTAAGCCAGACATGGTGGCTTATGCCTGTAATTCCAGAAGTTTGTGAGACTGAGGCAGGAGGATCACAAGTTCAAGTTCTTCCTGGGCAGTATAGAATAAGAAAATCTAAAAAAGGGCTGGGGTTATAGCTCAGTGTGAAGGCCCTGGATTCAATCCCGAGTATCACACACACAAGCCGTTTGGTTTATTTCTCCAGTGAAATCATCTAGGCTATTAGAATTATCTATTTCATATTGGGTATGTTATAGTATTTTGTGCTTTCCCAGAAATAGATGTTTTTCATTAAAATTGTCAAATTTTTCTATATATAAATGTTCTCTCATTAGCTTTTTTATTTCAGTAGGGCCTGTTGTGATATTCTCTGGATTTTTTGTGGTACTGGGAATTGAACCCATGGTCTTTGCACCAAGCTATATCTCCACCCCTTTTTGTTTTGCTTTGGTACTGGGGAATTGAACTCATCATTCACACCAAGCTACATCCCAAGTTGCTATGACTTGTGTGTAGATGCTCCCCCAAAGCCTCACATGGTCATAGGTGGTGCCTTTTCAGAGGTGGCTAGATCTAGAGTATGTGATTGATTCATGGTGCAATGCTAGGTTTAAGGATGCTAAGATTAAGAATGTGAGTTTTATCCGCCCTAAGGGCAGATAGCCTGGATATAATATAAGGGACAGTAAGAGACTTGCTGCTAGTTACTTGTAGTTTGTCTCTCATTGCTTGCTTTTGGTGTCTTCTGGCTGCCATGAACTGTTTCTCCTCTGAGATGCCCCTCTGCCATAACACCCTGCTTTGGAGCCAGCCAACTGTGAACTGAAACCTCTACAAACTGTGAGCTACAATAAACCCTTCCTCTTTTAACTATAGGTGTCAGGTATTTTGTGTCAGCAATAAAAAAGTAGCTAAAACACCAGCCCTATTCATTCATTCATTCATTCATTCATTCATTCATTATTTATGAGACATGGACTCTAAGTCAATAATTTGTTCAGGCTGGACTTAAATTTTCAAGTCTGCTTCTTCAACCTCCCAAGATGCTGGGATTAAAAGCATGTACCATCATGGTTGGCTATAATATAATTGTTTTAAAATCCTCTGTCCATACACTGTGAACCACATAAGACAATAATCTAATTTTTTCTGTAATTTATGAACATAATCTAGAATACTTAAGATCAGAAATAAAGTCTCATGTTTATCTGTACTTAGATCTTTTCATCGCTCTTCCTGATGTTCCAATATTTTTCCTATTACTAGTTTATTTTTCTAGTTTGTAAATTTTTTTTCTCTTAGGGTAGGTTTGCTGGTGAGAAATTCTCTTAGTTTCCTTTATCTGAAAATGACTTGATTTCCCCTTCACTCTTGAAGGACACTTTCCCATAGAGTTGACAGCTCTTTTCTTTCAGTTCTTAAAAGATAATGTCCTCTGGCTGTAAAGTTTCTCATGAGAAATCATTGTCATTCAGAAATTTTTGCTCTTCTAGGAAGGTGTCATTCTTTTCTTGCTACCTTCAAGTTTTTTCCCTTTGTTATTAATTTTCAGATGTTTTATTTTAAGGTGTTTTTATGTGAATTTCTTTATGTTTATTCTGTTTAGTGTTCACTTAACTTCTTGAATTTGTAGGTTTATCCCTTCCAAATTTGGGAACTTTTAAACCTTACTTTTTGGAGTATTTTTTAGGAAAAAGTACTAGAATCTGAATCTCTAGTTAAAATGACTCAAGCATTTAAAATTATTGTTTTCAGATAACCTTTCCAAAGTTTATTACAGATTTTATTACCGTCAATAGGGAATTCAGGTATCTGTTTATTCCCTCATCAACAGAAGTTATTAACCTATTAAGCTTTTGTCAATGTTTGAAACAAAAATATCGGTGTTTTAATATTTACGTATTTTTAGTGAAACTGAGCATATTTTCATGTGCTATTTGTATAGCATATTTGTTGACTGTATTTCTTTTCTAGTTGGCTATTTTCATGATAACTTTTTTGATGTGCAGTTTCCTTCCTTTTCTCCCTGCTTTCTTCCCTTCTTTCTCTTCCTCCTTTCCCTTTTTCTTCTCTTTCTCCCTCTCCTGTCCTGCAGATTGAACCCAGGCTGGGCTTGAATTTGGAATCCTCCTGCCTCAGATTCCCAGAGTGGTAGGGTTACAGGTATGTGGTACCATATTTTTCTTATTGATCATTAAGCTCTCACTGTACATTTTGGAAATTATTCTTTTGTAGTTTTTGCCAGTTTGGTGTTAGATTTTATAAACCTTGTTTTGTTTTTTGTTTAGCCAAATAAAAAATTTAAAAGTTTTAGCTATTAAGTTTTTGTCCCGTTTAAGGTTTACTTCCCTAAGATTAGAAAAATATTCTTTCATACTTTGTCTAGCATCTCCATGCTTTCATTTTCACAATTAAATCTTGGATTCATCTAGAATATATTTTCATGTAAAAGTGAGATAGCAGTAGTTATTTTCTATTAGGTTTTGGAAGGGAAAGTACCATTTATTCGAGTGTTGTATATCTAGGAGGAAGGAAACATTAGAAAACTGTGGAGTTGAGGGACTATCTCTTTTCTCAGTATTCTTTTGGGATGCTATGCAAAGGAAAGTTTGAATCAGTTGGAAATGTGAAGGCTGACAGAAAATAAGTTTAAAGACTTAGAAAAGTCAGAAGTTTTACTCGATATCATTTTTTGGGGGGGTACCGAGGATCAAACTCAGGACCTTCTGCTTTTGAGGCAAGGCGGTAGCACTACTGAGCTAAATCCCTGGCCCCTACTCAATATCATTTTTGTTTTTATTAGAGGCTAAGAAGAAATAGGAAAAAAAATTAATACTTTTATGATTTGTGTGTTGCTGTTGATTGGTGGATGGGCTTTTCCTCTGGACTAAAAAAGACGTGTGGTGACTCATACTGACATAGCATTGCCTTTATAGTGGGTCCTGGTGGGACACTTGTCTACACTGATGATTTACAGGACGATAAACATTTATTTAGTTAAAAAATGTTTTCTAATTACATATCAAAGAGGCAGTATAGGGGGTTATGCTTATGTCTTTGGTCTCTGGAATCACTCTGCTTGTGTTTAAATCCCAAACTGATCACTTACTGGCTGTGTGATTTGGATAAGTTACTAAACGCTTCTGTACTTTGCATTCTTTATCTATGAGGATATTAACACCTCACAGGATTTTGCAAGTGCTTCTGTGTTTAACATATAGGAAGCAACTGATAAATGTGAGCTACTATTAGTGCTAAATCCTTGGACATAGAGCACAGTATATGGTCCTGGCTCATTATGAACCTCAAATTCTTGAGTGAAGAGATAA